AGGTACTTTTTTCTATGTACCCCTACATAGAACCTAGAAAGTGAACCTAATAGCTTTCTGAAACACACACACACACACACACACCCTCCCCCCGAACTCCGAATGGATTTTGCTTTTGAGTAAAGGCAAAGGAGAGAGGAAAGAAGGAAAATAATATTTGACCAAATAACATTCTAGAGCAGAAAGGTGTTGGCCTGTGGTATGGAATAGTAATGCTTTACTCTAGTGTGGTACCTTAACTCTCAGTGTGCAAAGCACTTTGTGAAGGTTAATTAATTTTCATAACACTTGTAGAGGTTTGCAGAGTAAATTATTGCTAACTATCTCTCCCCTTCCAGTTATCTTGTAAAGGCCTCTCAGAACCTAAGCCTTGATGATAATCAGTATTTCCCCACCTCTGCCTTCTTCTCACACATCGCATCCTCCAGTCTTCACTACCACACACTCATGTGCACACACACACACACACACACACACACAAACACAGACACTTATGTTCCTCCTTTAGAGAGGGGGCACCTGCCACAGGCAGACATCTGGCTGACATTCCGTGCTCTAGGTTGGATCTGAGCTTTTCATACTGGCCTTCAGGAAGATTCATTTTTTCAGATCCCTTACTGCCCATATGGTGTCCTCAGTACATAATTGTTACTTTTCCCTTCACTATGGAAAAATCTCCCTTTCCTGGACTCAGCCTTCTTAACGTTTTCCCCAACAACTCTACCATCTTCCCCATCACCACAGCAGGCAGCTTCTTCCACTTCCCTCCAGTCAGGGCTCTGTGGTCATTGAGTTACTGTCAGCTGGAGCCCAGCAAGGCACTGTGGGCTGGGGTCTACTTCATGGTGTGTTGATTTATTGATCCATTCTGTTAGGTGTGAGGTGATATCTCATTGTAGTTTCAATTTGTATCTCTCTGATGATTGGTAATGTTGAGCATCTTTTTTATATGCCTATTGTCCACCTGTATGTCCTCTTTAGAGAAGTGACTATGAAGGTCCTTTGTCCATTTTTTTAATTGAATTGTTTGTCTTCCTGGTGTTGTGTTGTACAAGTTCTTCATATATTTTGGAGATTAACCCTGTATCAGATGAATCATTGGCAAATATATCCTCCCATACAATGGGTTCCATTTTTGTTTTGTTGATGGTTTATTTTGCTATGCAGAAGTTTTTTAGCAGTCCCATTTGTTTATTTCTTCCTATATTTCCCTTGCTGTTGAGACATATCAGCAAAAACATTGCCTGAGATTTTACTGCCTATGCTTACTCCTATAATTTTTATGGTTTAATGACTTACATTTAAGTCTTTTATTCATTTTGAGTTTATTCTTATGTATGATGTAAATTGGTGGTCTAGTTTCAGTTTTTTGTTTTTTTTGCATGTATCTGCCCAATTATCCCAATACCATTTATTGAATAGACTGTTTTTACTTCATTGTATGCTCTTGCCTCCTCTGACAAACATTAATTGACCATAAAGTCATGAGTTGCTTTCTGGGCTTTCTGTTTTGTTCCATTAATCTATATGTCTGTTCTTGTGTCTTGCTAGGCTATTTTGATTACAGTGGTTTTTTTTTTTTTAATATATTTTATTGATTTTTCACAGAAAGGAAGAGAGAGGGAAAGAGAGTTAGAAACATCGATGAGAGAGAATCATCGATCAGCTGCCTCTTGCATACCCCCCACTGGGGATGTGCCCGCAGCCAAGGTACATGGCCTTGCCTGGAATCGAACCCGGGACCTTTCAGTCCGCAGGCCGACGCTCTATCCACTGAGCCAAACCGGTCCCAGCATGATTACAGTGGTTTTGTAGTATAACTTTATATTCAGTATTATGATCCCTCCAAGTTTTGTTCTTTCTCAAGATTTCTGAGGCTATTTGGGGTCTTTTTTGGTTCCATATACATTTTTAAAATGTTTGTTCTAGGTTTGTGAAATATATCATTGGTATTTTAATAGGAATTATGTTAAATCTATAGATGCTTTGGGTAGTATGGACATTTTAATAATGTTAATTCTTCCAATCAATGAACATCGTATATACTTTGACTTGTTTACATTTGCCTCTATTTCTTTCTTCAATGTCCTATAGTCTTTGATTACTAGTCTTTTGCCTAGGAATTTTATTCCTAGTTACCTTATTTTTTGTTGCAATAGTAAATAGGATTGTTTTCTTCGTTTCTCTTTCTGAAAGTCTATTATTGGTGACTAAACTTGTCACCAAATTCTGAATATTAATTTTGTATCCTGCTACTTTGCCAAATTCAGTAATTAGATCCAGTACTTTTTTGGTGGAGTCTTTAGGGTTTTCTATGTATAATGTCAAGTCATCTATGAATAATAACAATTTTATTTCATCCTTTCAAATGTGGCTGCTTTTTATTTTTCTTCTTCTCTGATCACTGTGACTAGGACTTCCAGCACTATGTTGAATGAAAGTGATGTATCTGTCACTTTCTGGGCTCTCTGTTTTGTTCCATTAATCTATATGTCTGTTCTTGTGCCTTAACACCCCACTATCATCACTGGATATATATAAGGAAGGAGAGAGAAAGAGAGAGAGAGATAGAAACATTAATGATGATAGAGAATCATTGATTGGCTGCCTCCTGTCCATTTCACACTGGGGATTGAGCCCATAATCCAGGCAGGTGCCCTTACCTGAGAATAGAACTGTGACCTCCTGGTTCATAGGTCAACACTCAACCACTGATCCCCACCTGGACTCCCAATGCTTCTTTGTAGTGGACTCAGCCTGTGTGAGTGAGGGCCGGGAGTACACATCTTTCAGAGGTGACATCTGCCTTCCCTCCAATTATTTATTTTTTTTAGCAGTTTGCAAAATTACTTCATGACTAGCAAACTGACAAGCATAGAGTTTATTAATTTAATCAAATAAAACTCAGAGAAAAGTTAATGTAACACATTTAATGATAGTACAGAATTAATGCCCTGCATAGTTTTTAGGCATAAATGGTAAACAGTTTATGGATGATTGTAATAAGTATTACTTTAACAGAGCCAAATTAATTTTTTAATTCCTCTCATCTCACTTTATTAGTTCTCCAGTATTTATATAGTTGAAATTGTTATCTAAAGTTTTCATTGACACCATTTGCCATCTAGCATCTGAATTTCTTCACGTATAGGAAGATAATTCCTGGGACCAAGAGAAAAGACCATTTTTCTTTCTGAAAGTTCTTTGGAACTGTATTCATTTCTGTCCCTGAGATGTTCCCATTTAACAGCAGGTGTTGTTGTTCCTTATTTCTCTGTAAGATTTTCTTGTATTGTCATGGGTTAGCTAAGAACAAAAGTAACCATCCAAAACATCTGTCATTTGCCAAGAACAGATTTCTTACTCTTAGCTGAAAAGGTATTTGTTGCACTCAGGATGTCAAACACAATGATAAACACAGAGCTGCAGCTCATGGAAGTCTTGGAGAGCTGTCACCTTTTACTGAGCACATCTTGGGACCATTGCTCTACTCACTTAAAGTCGTGTTTCTGGTCTTGGATATACTCGTGTAGCTAAGAAAGGGAACTCAGAGGCTGGTGCTCTAATGAGTGACCTTGACTATGGAGATTCACACCAGTTCCTTTTTTTATGTCTCTTTTGTGGTTTCTGTAAAATTAAAAGGATGCCAATCAAAATGGCCCCTTAGTCACTGCTCATTCTGGGCAAGTGACATGTAGCAAGAGAGGAAGGGGCAGTGAGGGGGCTGTGGTGCAATCTTAGGCAGCAGAGACAGCTGACACTGAGTTAGAGTCCCAAGTGGACATAGGGAGGTAGGGCTTAAAATGATGGAAGGCTCAGGGGAATAAATATATTCCCATCCTTGATGTTTTCTTCAGAAATCTCCCCAGTACCTCTTAGAACTGAGACTAGGACTGTTTCCTCAATTATTAAAGTTTTCTTACTTGAATTAAGGGTAGAGGGGGGCTTGCTGTCATTTGAGTTTAGGATGACAAGTGCCAAAATTTGCAGGATGTGTGTATTACATGCTCAAAACAGACCTTGAGAGCTGTGACCTTGGCCTGTTCACTGGAGCCTGCTGTTCCTTTAATAGGAGAGAAAGAGGGCAGAGAGCAGGGACAGGCAGAGAGGGCCTGTCACTGCAGGTCAGAGAAAAAAAAAAAAGAAACACAATATCCTGGGAATGTTAATGTGCAGTGTGATAATTTCCTGTTTCAAATGCTACTTTCTGATCCTTCCTGCTTGGGACTAAAAAGGAGGAACAACCCCAGGGTGATTTATAAGCCTTGTCCTCACAGCCTCTTTTGTTTTCATCTGTGTAGGAGCCATGAGCTTCCTTCCTGTCCTGTGGGGCTCTTCTGAGTTGGGGGAAGATGATGAGAGTGGGGATGAAGACATCTCTTTATAACTCCAGCCTTTAACCAGCCTCACATACTGTCTGCCTGTGGCAGGTGTGGCCCCTTCCTTTGCAGGGGGTGTAGTGGTGGTGGTTGTCATTATCATGCAATCTTTTGAGTTCTTATGAGAAATATGTGTCCCACAAACTTCAGCACACAATTCTAGGAGGGTCCTCTGATAGTGTGGCTCATGTGGTGCTGATGTAGCCAGGTAGAGAGAATGCGTCCAACGTGGGAATGGCATAGACCAAGAAGCCGAACAGAAAAGAAGCCCACACAACTTTATGCAATCTACAAACAGGGGGGGTCAGTGGGCAGGAGGCAGGGTGAGTGTAGCAGAGTCCAGGGCCTTAATGTTAAATAAAGCTGAGAGAGCCAGGGCAGCTTCCCTGAGGAGCATGTGCATGGCCAGGTGTGATGGTCTAAAGGAGGAAGAGGAGAGGGTCCTAGTGGCTTCTGTAGTCAGCAGATCCTGAGGACCTGATCCTGCAGCTCAGAGTGACCTAAACCCCATCACCCACAGCTCCAGTGGGGTTCTGGTGCCCAAGCTCTAGGACTTGCATCTGTGGGATAAAAGAATTTCAGTGTAGGTCTCATCAGACTATCCTTTTGCCCTATCTGCAGGAAAATTGCTGCTTATGATGAAGAAATCCAGCATCTCTATGAGGAGATGGAGCAGCAAATCAAAAGTGAGAAGGAGCAGTTTCTCTTGAAGGTAAAAGTCACCTCCGGGGCTTGGCTCTGCGGGCCAGGTTGATCTCACCTACTCTGACTACCTCTGCCAAGTTAAGATTCCAATGCCTCACCAATGGCACTACCGATTCCCTTTTTCTCAACTTGATTTATAATTATTTCAAGACATTTGTCACCTTCAAATATAACATATAATGTACTTGTTTATTTTTATTAATGGCCATCTGTATGCTCCCACTAACTTGTAAGCTCTACAAGAGCAGGGATCTTTAACTTTACTACCTAACTTATCCTTAGCACCTTGACCATGCCTGGAACGTAGTAGGTACTAAACAATTGTTTGTTGGATCAATGAGTAAATGAACAAGTGAATGAATAAATGAATGAAAGGATGAAGGTGCATGCTTTACCAGTTTAAGAAGCCTGAAGACTGGGTCTGACCCTTGTTCTAGACCCATATGGTAGGCCCATGCAAAAGGACCAGTTCACTCCACTTCCTAAGGGGACCATCCTTGGAGCTTGTACATCCTCCCTTTCCCTTTAGACACCTAGAAAATTTAATACCCAAGACAAATGAAATCCCACCTTTCTCAGATACCACGGGAGAACATTTAAAACTCACATTTCCTATTCCTACTCTGTACTTAGCCTCCTACCTAGCCCTGCTATTTGTCTTGGGCGGTCAGAACTGGTAAAATCATCACCTTTTCCAGGCTAAGCTAAGGATATCCATATTCATAAAAAAAATTTTATAGGAAACTCTGTTTTCCATTTTTGGATTATCTATTGTACTTAATGGGTTCTCAACAGATAAGTTTTGATCTTGAACAGTGGCCTCCTGTCTTAGTCAGTTGGGGCTGCTATTACAAAAATACCATAAAATGGTTGGTTTACAAACAACAAATATTTACTTCTCACCATTCTGGAGGCTAGAAGTCCAAGATCAGGATCGTCAGATCTGGTGAGAGCCCTATTTTGAGTGACTCTTTGTCTCCTCACATGGCATAAGGGCAAGCAAGCTCTCCAGGGTCTGTTTTATAAGGGCACTAATCACCTCCCACAATCCCCACCTTTTAATACCATCACGGTGGGGGTTAGGTGACAGAATATAAATTTTTGGGGACACAATACTGAGACCACATCATCTCTGGCCACTCAGCACTTGGGCTGTTGTCACAATGTCTTTTTTCCCCTGCTAATGTGGCTGGTTTGAGCCATTTTTTAGTTGTATGTAGCTTTGATCATCCATACCACATCTTCATTTATTATCACAGATGTCATTGAAATGGAGGAGTCTGGAAGTCTTCCAGAAAAAGCCAGTCATGTTCTTTGACTAGAGTCTTATGGAGACTTGTCAGAATCCCCAGATTTCCTCCCTGTTCTTTTTTAGAGCTTTAAAACACTCTGCTGCCCATCCCCTAGCCTTTAGCATAGGGAGTGAGTTGTATCACAGACAGAACTCACACACTCCTCACCTACCAGGCCCTGAAACAGTCCTACCAGACTCTGAAACAGCAGCCTTCTCCCACCCTACAGTAGGATATCTACTTCCTTTACCCAAAATGGCCCACTGCACAGAGGGGCTGAGCTCTGGGGCATTTGCCCCCCTGCTTGGGTCATGACAACAGGTCAAAGTCCTGGCTAAAGAAAGGGGATGCCTCCAGAAGCAGAAGTGGGCCAACGCATGGGGATTCGGAGTAGGAAGAGGTCAGAAGAAAACATTTAAGGACAAATTAGTGTCATAAAGGTGACCTGACCACGCTGCTGCTTCACCCACCTTCTCCCTTCTCAATAGCAAACACCTTTCAGACTCAGTGCTTAGATTTATGTTTTCTGCATAAGCATGGAAACTATTAGAAAGTGTATGGCATGCTACTAAGCCTTGAATATGCAGGCTTTTGCTGGGCCACAGTGTGAGTGTAGTGGTGTTACAGTTGATGACAGCATGGAAAAGAGGGACCTTTTGGGGTTTGGATTTTGGCTCTATGGTTAGCACCTTGTTGGCGATGAGTGAAATATTAGTCACTTGCACAACCAGCTTCAGGCACTAGACTCTCAAAGCTCTGTGCTGGCTGGGCAGTAACATACTTGCAGGCCCATGGTGGAGATGGTAGCATCGCCATGGGGATCTGTAGCTGTTCCCTTCCCAGCACTGTCCACCGGGTACCTGCCCTATGAACAGCAGACAAGCCAAATGAAGCAGGTTTCCTGTAACAGAAGTTGGGAGTAGGAACTGTCCCGTCAAATTTGCTTCTGTCATTACATGTGGTTGAGATGAGTACAGTCAGGCTGGCCCTGAGCTGCAGTCACCTGCCTGAAAATGGACAGAGGAATCAGGTAGCATTTACGAACAATGAGCCCAGGAAATACTCTGAGCTGTTCAACAGAAGTGTCCAAAGGCCTCTGCCCGAGAGCAGCCATGTTTCCTGACTGTTGCACCATCACACACAACCTGCCAGCAGGACAGGCCTCCCCTCCAGAGCAGCCTCCGTGGCTGTCCTCCTTGGGAAGGCATTGTTCCATGGGACAGACAACCGGGGCTCCTCCAGTGAGTTATTTGAGGTTAAGGTGGCTTCTTTCGTTCCTGCATGGTTTGCACCTCTGCTCTGCCTTCAGGCAAGTGGAAAGCTACAAGTAGCATGGATATTTTTTTGTTTCTATTCTATTAACAAAGACTCCATGGTCTAAAACAGTGTTTCCCAAACTTTTGACATATGTGGACCCCTTCTATAATTTTTGTAATGCTGAGTACCCCTCATACTCATGAGAACGTAGAATTAGGCACAGCTAAGCACGGTGCAGTGCATATCCCCACCAAATTCCAGTGCAACGTGTACCCCCACCAAACTCTTCCCGTATCCCTGGGGGTACGCATACCACACTTTGGGAAACATTGGTCTAGAACACATGTGTCAAACACAAGGCCCTCGGGCCAAATCCGTCCCGCCAGGCCTTGCAATGTGGCCCGCACCATGCTGTCATCACTGCACTCCACTGCGTTTCCATCACAATGACAGTTTATGACTGTTCAGTAAACCATCTGGCCCGCGATTTAGGCTGGATTTTATATTTTGGCCCCTTCTCTGATTGAGTTCGACACCCCTAGTCTAGAAGAATGAGCAAGTTAGCTGGGCCAGGCCAGGCATGGAACCCAAGTCTCCAGACGTCCAGTTCAGGGCCTTTTCACCATTCCAGGCTCTGTTCAGACATCCTGACAACCTACACACTATCTTCTTTATCCCACAACCAGGTCCCTTTGCTCCTGCATCATCAGGGCCTCTGCATCCCTGAGTGGGGAAGCTCAGTCCTAGGATGGGGGAGAAGGTACATCAGGAGGAAAACAAAATCTCAGTCATTGTCAGAAAACAGTGAGGACCTGGACCCTAAAGAAATGATGCCCCGAGTTTCCAGAATGAGGGTCATTTAAGGGATGAAATGACAGGCCCAACATGGAACAGAATATCCACATGGAAGGATACCAATCCACAATTTACAGATGAGGAGACGGCCTGAGATTTGAGGTCAGGTCCTGTTCTCTTTTCCCTGCTCAGTACTCCCCCACCTATGACACTGCTTTTACTGGGGGAGAGGGGTACATTGTTGACAGTCAAGCCACACCTAGCATTTGCACTCTGTATCTCACTGGGCCACACCAACCAGCTGGCAGATCCCCAAGGCCCTGGAATGCTGTGGGGAGGCCCCGAAGTCCACCAGGATGGGCAGGCCCTGCTGATGAGCAGGTGCAAGGTGGGAAATAGTCTCCATCCCAGGTGCATTTATGCCTCACATGTCCCTCTCTCTGGCAGGACACAGAGCGCTTTCAGGCCCGCAGTCAGGAGCTGGAGCAGAAGCTGCTGTCTAAGGAGCAGGAGCTGGAGCAGCTTGCCCAGAAGCAGAAGCGGGTATGCTGTGTCCTCAGACACCCAGCCCTCACTGCATCCTTTTTTTCTGGCTCTGGCCCACTTTCCCTGACATTCACTTAAGGACTTCTCTCTTTTTCAAGCTGAAAGAACCATTTAGTTGTACAAGAGAGCATTTGAAATCAGAGATGATCCCAAGATAAAGCCTTTGCTTCTCCAATGCCAGGTGTTTAACTTGAGAAGTTGCTAAGAATTCTCCCTTGAGGTATCTGCAGACATTGCTGTATAATTGTGCCCAGGAGCCAAAATGTTAATTTGTTCCCTGCATGCTGTATAAGAGAGGAGAGGAGTGCTGAGATACAAGGGTATCCCTGGTACTTAGGGGGAGGCTGCAGACAGTACTGTCCGCCCGCCAGGATGGCCATGGAGCCTCCAGCAGGAAAAGGCTCTTCAAAGGTCAGATTTTCCATCCCCATCTCCCTTTGGACGTGGTTCATCACCTCCTTTATGACTGTCTCATCATCCTGAAGATGGATGTAGACTCAGACGCTCCTCTGATGCACCTGAGCTCCCAGCAGGCAGGCTGGGTTGTGCATTGTGTCCATCCACTATGGCTGGGAACGCCTGGCTAATGACCCCAGAAAGGCCGATTACCTCAGCAAGCCTCAGGCTTACCGCCTCCTCTTCAAAGCCAGGGCTCGTGGAGGGGAGAGACCAGAGCACCATTTATCCTCCTGTTTTGTCTTGTGTTGGAAGGAATCCAGCCCTGGACAGACTCAGACACATTGCTGCAGTTTAAATAGAAAAGGCTATTTTTAGCAACACATGAAAATGTGTTTGAACCCCATGCTAAGGCTGAAGACTGCTCCACTCCTGCTGCTACCCAATCTATGAATTTGGGTTTCTTTCCTTATCAGCAAGATGGTTTCAACTCCAGGAACTGGCAGCTGCCTTCCCATCCCCCTTCCACAGCCTTAGCTTGACTTGCTTCTCCTACTCTTTCTCCTCCTCACTATTATGCACTAAGTCCTTACCAATTAGAGTTATCCCTCACATGAATGACTGCCACTCTACTTATTTACTGCATGCTTACCTGATTACAAGGAGCCTCCTGAGAATTACACAAAGTTTCTCATCGTTTCTTCCTCCTCCCCTTACTGGCTACATTCATTAAACTAAATTTTTTATAATCAGTTTGCCTTGGTTTGATGCTTCCTCTAGTGAGAGGGTTGGAAGCTCTGCAAGCCATGAGCACTAGCCAAGAAAAGCTGAAGTCACTCAAAAGCCGGTTTTTAGTTGTTTTAGGAACATGTTTTGTTTGACCTGTTTTAGCTATTTCTTGGAAATTTTCAGTGTTGCTGGCTACCATCAAAGCTTCTGTAGATTAAAGGAATTGGACTTACACAGCTGAGGGAAAGAACAAAATTGGGAGGGATGTTTTATGAGGATGTCCCTTACATAGTGTTCTCCATTCCTTTGATGGCTAAGGAGAAGAAACTGGCTTAAAAGACAATAGGAAGGATTTACTTTAGATCTTATCCATGAGATAAGAGTCAAAGATGGATGTGGAATTTCCTTTTCTCATACCCCCTTGGAGACAAGGGAGAGCTGAGATTGTTCTGGAAGCTCTTCCTGCTTCCTGCAGTGCATATGTATGAATGAAGGAACAGGACAAAGTTAGAGGGCAGTTGAGGGTACAGCGATGGTCCCTGCCCACCAAATGGAAAAAGCTAGATGAGGCTGGGGCAGGCCAGCCTGACAATGGTGCTTGCCCGCCATTCCTCTCTGTCCCTCATTCCTTTCCAGTTGGAGGGCCAGTGCACAGCCCTGCATAACGACAAGCATGAAACCAAAGCAGAGAACACCAAGCTGAAACTCACCAACCAGGAGCTGGCCCAGGAGCTGGAGCGCACCTCCCGGGAGCTGCAGGACGCCCAGCAGCAGCTGGAAAGCCTCCAGCAAGAGGCCTGCAAACTCCACCAGGAGAAGGAGATGTGAGTGTGGCCTTGCACCCCTATCACTGCTCCGCAGGCTCCCTCCCTGCGGTGAGCATGCCATCTCCCCTCTTGGAGACCCTGTCCCTTTGCCTGTAAAAAATGGGGATTGGACCTGATCTCGTCTAGCTTCCTGGAACTATTAGCTGACCAAGGCTGTGCTGAGCATTATCTAGGACACATGTGTCAAACACAAGGCCCGCGGGCCAAATCCGTCCCGCCAGGCCTTGCAATGTGGCCCACACCGCGCTGTCATCACTGCACTCCGCTGCGTTTCCATCACAATGACAGTTTATGACTGTTCAGTAAACCACTCGGCCCGCGATTTAGGCTGGATTTTAGATTTTGGCCCCTTCTCTGATTGAGTTCGACACCCCTAATCTAGGATATACAGTTCTATTCTTGGAAAATTTATTATGTGATCAGGAAGATATGTTATCCAACCAACAAATATATTTCAGACTGTGAGAAAATGCTGAGTGAGCAGATAGACAAAACATGACTGTAGTAGTTTAGGAGCCTGAGAGACCGGATGAAAGTGAAGCCCGCACGTTTCCGAGATGGATATGTAATTGGACAGGGCATGTAACGGTGCCCTGGAATCTTCACTCCAGCTCTGCCCCTTTTCCCTGCAAGTATTCTGCATGGGCTGGTTGGGGAGCCCCACGCCCCTCGGGGCCTGGTTTGCTAGTGAACTGCTTGTGGCGTTAGGACAGGGCTCAGTTTGTGAGGCAGAGGCATGCCTGAGTAGATTCCTGGTGTGGTTTGTGTGTTAAGCTGGAGAAGTTGCTGAGGAATATCAGCATTTATCTTGTTTTAGGAGTGTTAGGTTTTGAGACCAAATGCTCTCTGAGGCCCAGGGAGAAAAATCTCACTTGTTTATTTATTCATTCATTTCTCCATATATTTATGAACTTATTTAGCAAATATTTATTGAAAACTACACTGTGCCAGGTACTAAACTGAGCAGTCTCACATCGATAGTTTAACATTATCTCCAGTGACCTTTACAGCATCGTGATGTGACAAGGACACTTATGATCAACTTTGATTTATAGATGAGGAACTGAGATTCAGAGGTTTTCAGCATCTGTCCAAGAAGCTCTTGATTACTCTCCCAAGGAATAATGAGTCAGCTAGAAAATATTTGCACGGGCATTGGACTGGCCAACGTTCACTCACTCATTTGTTCATACACTCGTTCATGTCTTCATCCATTTATTCTGCGAAATGTTTTTGTGTGCCTGGTCCTGTGCTGGGTAGGACAAAAAGTCTGATTTGAGAGGAAAGGCAGTATTACTTACCAATGATCGATGTTATACATATATTCACTTTCCTTGCTCAAAAGCGAAAGCCCTCACTCTGTTGGCTGTTGGCAAAATGTTGGTCTACCGGCCTAAATCAAATTGTCCTGCTGTCTGGCTCACATGTGGTATCTTATATCATGTGGGATTGATTGCCTAGTGTGAGAGGGAGGTGTTTGAATTTAAAGTTTTACCCTAGATACCTGCAGTTAACACACACACACACACACACACACACACACACACACACACACACAAACATGCACCAATTTTTGGATGACCAGTGGCAATACAATGTATTTCATTGTAAACGAGCAAAATCAGTTCCTCCTCATTGAAACCAGGTCAACAAGGCACAGGCATTTAACTTTGCAAACAATGAAGGATTCAGGCTTTTAAAATTCAATCAAGTTCTAAAAGCAACAAACATCTGAAGGCGAAGGCATTAGAATAGCAGATGGAAATGAGCACACAGCGTGGAGTACCAGATCACAACAGGAGGACTCAAATCTTCCTGAAGCCTCATCTTAATTAACCAAGCCAGAGATACAGTCTCTGGAGGTTGGGAATTAAAAAAGAGGGAGGAGGGATAGGAGGAAAAGATAAAAGATTCTCCCCTTCACAACTTGTTTTGGAGAAGCATGCAGTCCTGTATAGTCGGAAAAAGTGCTGGAGCCCAGGAGAGCATGGCCTGGCCTTCCAGGGAGGTCAGGAGAGAAGGCAGAGACAGCCTCACTTGTCTTCTATGGAACAAGAGTCCCAGACCACCAGGACTGATAGGACCTAAATGCTCTTATTCAGTGGTTCTCAACCTTTTTAATGCCATCACCCTTTAATATAGTTCCTCATGTTGTGGTGACCCCCAACCATAATATTGTTTTTGTTGCTACTTCATTACTATAATTTTGCTACTGTTAATGAATTATAATGTAAGTATCTGTGTTTTCCAATGGTCTTAGGCTCTACGGCAGCTAGCAACAGGTCAGGACGAACAGGTTGAGAATTGCTAGCAGGGTTGCCTACTCCATCTCTCATTTTATAAATGAAGAAACTGAGGCTCAGAGAGGTATAGTGACCAACCCAAAGCCACGCAGCTAGTTAGTTCCAGAAAATGGGACAGAGTCTGGTTCTGATGCCTTGCTGCCTGGCATAGCTTCATAGCTGGGAGAGGAAAAGGGAAGATTGGAAGATAAACAGATTAAGTCATTTATCAGCTAGAATTCTGAACAGGCAAATTGATTTTCCTGTTCTCTGAAGATGCTCAAGGAAGGAGAACTAGATTTTAAAATATGATAAAGAAAGAACAATCAAGCAGGGAAGATAATAAAGATGAAGGTCAGCTGAAAGCACCTCTCCATTTATTTTGTTAATTAACTTTTATTTAGGGTAGTTTATGACAAGGTACAAAATTCAAAGGGCACAAAAGGATATGCACTAAAAACAGGTTTGCCTCTATTCCCCACCTCATCACTCTGGCCTCCAGTCATGCAGACGCCACCAGTATGGTTTCTTGTGGGTCCTTCCAGAGAGTTCTATGCATATGCAAGTGCACATGCATACACACAATTTTCCTTACAAAATGGTAGCACATTATTCTGCATTTGCCTGCATTTTTCACTTGACAGTATATTTTGCAGTGTGCTCCATATCTCATCTGTCTCCTAAAAACAAACCCAGTAGCAGTTCCCTAACGGCAACCATACATCTCTCACCAACTACTCCTGTGAAAAAGGCAAGTTCTTCCCTTTCAGTTCACATATTACCAATGTAAACATTTAGAATGTCTGGATTAGAAGGACTTCCAAGGTCATTTAATCAAACATCCAAGTGCTCTTTTTCACCCAGAAATGCTTTTCTTTTTGTTAACATGAAACAATCTGAATATGTTTCTATGAGTATAAATGGGTCTGAGCAGTTCAAACCCACGTTGTTCAAGAGTCAGCTGTATTTTCTATCCCTGGTTGGTGGGATCTGTGTAAGTGGAGGGTCAATTTAATTTATATGGATTTCCAACTGCTCAGAGGATTGGCACTTCCAATCCCCATATTGGTCAAGAGTCTGATGTCTATTTATCTGTATACTAGGGTCCCTCAGCCTGGCCAGGTATCAAGGCCATTCGGGGTCTTCTGACTACAGGCCAGGGCCATTCTTCCTTCCTCCCTCCCTTCCTTCCTTTCTTCTTTCCTTCCTTCCATGCCGCCCCTTGGTGGTCAGTGCACATCATAGCAAGTGATCAAACTCCCGGTCTTCCGGTGGAACTTCCAAGGGGACAATTTGCATATTAGGCTTTTATATATATTCTAGAGGCCTGATGCACAAAATTTGTGCATGGGGGTGTCCCTCTACTCAGCCTGCACCCTTTCCAATCTGGGACCCTTCAAGAGATGTCCAACTGCTCGTTTAGCCCAATCCTGGTAGGATCGGGCTTAACTGCTCCCTTGCCACCCTCTTTGCCCCTAACTGCCTTCCCCTGTAGGCCTGGTTACCCCTAACTGCCCTCTTCTGAAGGCCTGGTCATCCCCAACTTCCCTCTTCTGCATGCCTGGTCACCACTAACTGTCCTCCCCTGCAGGCTTGATTGCTCCCAATTGCCCTCTTTTGCAGGCCTGGTCCCTTCCAACTGCCCTCCCTTGCTGGCCATATTGTGGTGGCCATCTTGTGTCCACATGGAGGAAGGATCTTTGGCCAGGGGAAAGCCATCTTATGTGTTGGAGTGATGGTCAATCTGCATATTACTCTTTTATTAGATAGAACAGAGGCCTGGTGCATGGGTGAGGGCCAGCTGGTTTGCCCTGAAGAGTGTCCCGGATCAGGGTGGAGGTTCCATTGGGGTGTGGGGCAGCCTGGGCAAGGAACCTATGGTGGCTTGTAGGCTGGCCACACCCCCCAGTGACCCAAGTGGAGGCCCTGAAATCTGGGATTTATCTTCTACAATTGAAACTTTGTAACCTGAAGTGGAACCAAGCCTCCTGTTCATTCCATGGTGGCAGCTATTTCTGTTGAGATTTATTTATCTTCTATAATTGAAACTTTATAGCCTTAAGTGGAGGCCAAGGCAGGCTAGGACAGGTGGAAAGCTTGGCTTCCTTCATTGCTGCGGGCAATCCTAACTTCTTGCTCTCTCCAGCTCTGTGGCTGCTACCATTTATGTTGGGATTTATTTATCTTCTACAATTGAAACTTTGTAGCCTTGCGTGGAGGCCTGCGCCCACAAGGGTGTGTGGAAAGCTTGGCTTCCTCCATTGCCAGAGAAACCCAAGCCTCCCTCCTGCTCACTCCATGGCTGCAGCCATCTTGGTTGGGTTTAATTTGCATACTCACTCCTGATTAGTTGATGGGCATGGCTGGTGGATGTGGCTTGTAGGTGTAGTGAAGTAATAGTTAATTTGCATATTACTCTTTTTTTCCTCTCCATTTACATTCTTTATTTTACATACCATTTGTAATACAGTTATTCAATCTTCCTTGTGGAGGACAAGCACTTTCTGCCACCTGTGGTTTTGTTTCCTCTTTTTCTGAGAAGACAATTTTCTTAACTTCTTTATCTTCTCCAGTATTATCATCTTTGAGAATCCGAGAAGTTATAGATGATTGGATATTTTTATCCTCCAAATGTTCATTTTCTAGTTCTGTGGTGTCCATGTTTTCCCACGATGTGCTTCTCCAGGAGGGAACAGTGCGGGCAGTAGGGACACCAGCAGCGGCCAAAGAGCAGAGGAGGTGCGCAACAGCGGCCTGCTGTTGCTTCCCCACTGAAAGTTCTGGAAGTTCTGCATATTACTCTTTTATTAGACAGAATAGGTATCCAATTGGATATATGTTTACTAGACAAATGAACAGATGTGTTTGCATGGATATGTGCACAAAATTCATGTACTTGGGGGTGGGAGGAATCCCCCAGCCTGGCCTGTGCCCTTTTACAGTGTGGGAGCCCCATGATTCATTGCCCAAAAAAATTAAGCCCCTCTCACCCATCCAGGGTTCCTGGATGGATTGTCCCAAATAAGTAGGCCAGAGCCAGGGGTGACCTGCGGACCCCAGGCTGGGCCATTGCGGAGGCCTGTGGACCCTTGGGGGCAGGCCCACAGTGGATGCCTCCTTCTGCTGGCACCTGCCTAAACCCCACCATGGGCCTGCCTCCTTCCCCAATGCTGCAAGGCCCTGTCCATCTGCACCTGCTGTGCATGCCACCTGCTAAGCAGTTGTGACAAAGTGTCCTGGATAATTTGCATATTCCTCTATTATTATATAGGATGTGTGTATATGTGTGTGTGGGCATAGCTCCAATGTTCATCTGGTTCTGTGAGAACAAGGCTAGAAAAGATCTGAAACACCTTTTTATTTAGGAATTGGCTCCTTAGTCAACCCCCCTGGGAAAACCCAGACCTGAGATCTGCAATGAGTGATTTTCCATAGCAGGGGTAAGCTGTCTGTTCCCTCTGCACCCAGAGAGAAGCAGGACCAGCTGGAGTCACATGAAGCACCCAGGCAAGCTTGGCTCCTGAGGTACAGAGGTAGCCAGGAGGCAGCTCTAACTGAGCAGAATCCTAGAGAGGGGTTTGAGAACCTGGTTCAGGGTAATGGCAAATATGTTGTTTTTTCCCCCGAGTTGACATTAAATATAATTGGTAATAAAATGTTAGGAATTTGCAGCTCTGCAGGAACCAGAGAAGTTTTGTTGCTTAATTAGGATTATCTGAGGTGAACTTAGAATTTAATTCAGTCTGTTATTATTGTAAATTGACTTTATAATTATTATTCTATAAAGGAGGATAAGCCATCACAGATACCTTTTCAGGAACCAGATCATTGTGAGCTTGGCCGAGTATTATGGGCCCAGCAAACTGATTCTGTTTTCCCCAGCTCAATAACATGGATGGGTGGCCGAAGGTCATTGTCCTTGCCCAGCATAGAGTGTGCACAATACAGATGCTCTGACAGCATATACAAGTTGATGTTATTATCAGGCTGTAAGATGCTCTCTTCACTAAATGCCATGCTGTGGTTTGGAGAAGTGGAACTTTGGGTCCTTTACATAAAACATGGTGCAGAGCACAGAGGAAAAGATGGAGGTGAAGTTACAAAGTCAACCATGGTTTATTTCCCAGTGTTTCCAGTTCTGCCTTTTTTCCTTTCTTCCCTGAGTGTTGTTGAGTACTTCCCCAACTCACCCTTACCTTTTCTTCCTTCCTTCCTTCCTACCTCCCTCCCTTCCTTCCATCTTCATCCCTCTAGCCCTGCCTTCCTTTTTCCCTCTCTACTTTTTCCTTTTCTCTCTCCTTCCTTCCTTCCTGCTGCTTCTTGTTCAATCTGCCTGCGTGCAGGGCCCTGCAGGGAGCATTCATATATAAGCAAACTTGACAGGACCCTGCCTTACTACCTTGCCCTCCAGCCACCCATGCAACTTTCAGCTTCTTTCTCCCTTCCTCACAACTCCCGATATGGCCACCATGTTCACACTGTGATGTAAATAGCTGATTGTAATTGATGCATTAAATCTCTGCTTTATAGCTATAAATAAGAAATCTAAGTCAAAGAAATGAGTGATCAACGGTCGAAATCCCAGATATCTGAAAACAGATTGGAGCCTTTGGGAGGAGGTGAAGCAGGAAAATGATTCTTTGAGAGCTCCTGGAAACAAACCCAACTAGCACCCAAGGGGAAAAGAATAGCAGTTCTGCTCTCACCCTCAAAGACTGGGCTGGAGAACAATATTGATTCTAATCCCCTGAACCTGGGGGCAGGACCACATGGAGCCTGGGAAAACAGTGGTTCTCTATCATAGAGTCGTGCTCAGAGATGACATGTGAGTGGCTGTGGAATGAGCATGTCTGGGGCCAGGAGGCCTTGATGAGGACCCTGGATTGTTAGTGTGAGCTGGATTATCAAAGTTCTGCCTGTGTCTGTGAAATACGGTGTCTGTGATGACTAACTGAAGTCATGGCTGTGAGCACTTGCACGTGGCAGGTGGTCTCCAAGGAAGGTCATGTTCTTTGAAACCCCTCAGTCCCCAGAGAGAGCACTGCCTGCTGGTTCCAGTGTGAGGGCTCCTAGGTGCCTCATACCCCATAGCTCTCCCCACCAGGCGCCCCCACCCCCCAACTGAACAATCATTCACCACTGCTGTTTGCCTCCTCGTCAGGGAAGTGTACCGCGTGACGGAGAGTCTGCAGCGGGAGAAGTCGGGGCTCCTGAAGCAGCTGGATTTCCTAAGGTGGGTCAACACTGTGTGTGTTCTGAGAGTGTATCCCAGATGGGGGCTGGGCTGAGTTCTCCCTGCCTACATGCTGGAAAATATAGCCACTGAGAGAGTGCCTTCATTTCCCTGTCCTTGACATTTTGTTGAGGCACCAAGTACCATCCTCTCCATTATGTTTGGTCCATCTACACATGCCCACTTCCCTCTCCACTTTATACCCCTCTCAGTGTCTCTCACAGCACCCTGCATGGCCCTTATCTGGTAGGAGGGGACCTGAGTTTATTGAACATCTACACTGTGCCAACCATGCTATCCCTCTCACCTTCAACAAAACTTAGGAAAGTAAGTAGGGCAGTCGTTAATACAGGAGTTAACTAAGTTGATATTAGAGATATGAGATAATTTACCAAAAGGAACACAGCTTCTCACTGGTGGAGCCAAAATTGAGATCCACATGGGGTTGATTCTCTTTATCCTACCATATTCCATTCATGCTTGTTGAATGAGTTCAGGCACACCTCATTTTTCTGTCCTTTGTTATGCTTTGCAAATATTGTGGTTTTTTACAAAGTGCATGTTTAGGGCAATGGTGCACTGGGCAAGTCTATTGGTGTCATACTTCCACAAGGCTCAAATGATGTGTTGCATTTTTTTTTAGCAGTAAAGTATTTTAAATTAAGATTTGTACATTTTTAGACATCATGCTATTGCACACTTAATAGACTACAATTTAGAATAAAATTATATTTATATGTACTAGGGAACCGAAAAATTCATGACTTGCTCTATAAAGATATTCACTTTATTGCCATGATCAGCAATCTCAGGGTCTGCCTGAAAATGAGTCAAAACAGCACCAAGAATGGAGTTTCCTTAGCCTGCTAAAACTCACTGTAACTTCAAAGCTCATTGGTATGGAATGTGCCAAAAACACAAACCAAACAAAACCCCTCCAAACCTGTGTGGGTAGGCTGGCATTTTGAGTTCCGCCTCTGAGGTTTCTAAGTGCCTGCTGCCTACCAAACACCTCCTGGGGAATGGTGACCAAGCAGAAGGACTCTCAGTTCTGATTTGTAAAGGGCAAATGCGTTTAAATCAGGTAAATGATGAAGCTTTTGTTCAGTTTTTTTGTTTGAAAGCAAGGTAAGGTCACTGTGACTGACATCCATGATGCTACCAAATTAAAAAGTGCTTCAAATTGAATGCCCTTCAAATTTACTGCACTCAATGCCTGGTTCCAACAGGCCCCAAAGGCCAAGTTCTCATCCATTTAGGAGAAGATGTTGATTCTTAGGAAGGTATTCGTGAAAGGAAGAGAACAAGATGTTCAAGGCCGAGTTTTTGTGTTTTCCTCCTTCTTTGTATTATACGTGGGAAAAAGAAAAGGGCAGATCCAACATGAATGAGCAGAGGGGAGTGACAAGGCAGCACTCTGCAAATGCTTATGGGTCTTTTAAAGGAGAGCAGCATTTGTGCAGAATCACGTGGCTGGAGCTACTGCCTGGTTACCAAGCTCAGCCTCTGCCAGCTGGTGAGAGTCCAGATGTGGAGAAGAAGCCCCCAGCTGGTTTCTCTTCCACACTGAAGTCACCAGCTAGTGACCCAGAGCAACGGGGATTCGTAAGTTGAGGAGAGGAAGATGGGAGAGGGGTGGGTGGGGAGAATAGTGGGAATGTGGAGGGGTGGTGGTGGTGAAAACAGGACAATGGCTGGGATGTGACCAGGATGTAACAGAATGTGACCGGCCCTCCTAAGGGAAATGGAGCAAATGGAAGCTGTTTCAGGAACACTGTCTCTGGTTCCAGTCCCAGCACTGCCCCTCATTATTGTGTGTGCCCTTGGACCATTGACTTAACCAGTGGGAGTCTTCATCTCCTGCCCACCTCTCAGGCTTCTTTTGAGACTCAGCTGATAGATGTGGGTAGCAACATGTAAAGAGCCTAGCTTGTCTTAAAGTACTGAAGCTTCTGCGTGGTGGTGGCTGCACAAAGCATGAAACAACAGCAGAGCCGTGAGAAAGACCTGGCTCCCAGGGCTCCCCAAGTCCTCACCCAGACACTTCCTCTTCTTAACATTCGCTCCTGCACAGAGGGAGGGTCATTCAGGCATGAGAAGCTCCCTTGGCCATCCTCAGGGTTTACAAGAACCTTCCTCGTCCCTCCCACTCATTCTGCAGGTCCTGGCTGTGTGCCTGCCTGCTCACCAGATGCACAGCTGCTTCAGAACAGCCCCAGGAACTGGGGTCTGTCCTCCGGCCTGCCTCAGACTGCACCTGCCAAGTGCAGCTCACTTAGCGGAGTGCCTGCCCACGGTCTGGACCCAGTAAATGGCCATGTTACAAGGACGACAGACAGACCACGGCTGTATCCTCCTTTTGGAGAGATCTAAATATATTATACTCTGTTTCCCCAAAAATAAGACAGTGTCTTATATTAATTTTTGCTCCCAAAGATGCACTAGATTTTATTTTCAGGGGATGTCTTATTTTTCCATGAAGAAGAATACGGTACACATTTATTGTTAAATGAAAATAAAGGAAATTTATTACCTGTATACGGTATGGTAGTACGGTAGTTGTCAACACAAACCAGACAAACTGTGAATCCCACAGTATCAAGAATTTACTCATTTATTCAATGACAATCACGTCATCATCTTCTGGAACATCATCATAACAATCCAATTCCTGAATTTCCTGGTGAATTTCTTGTGACTCCATTTCTTTCAGAATCAGTGGACCAAATCTCTCATGTTTAGCATTAGTACTGTCTTTAAATGAGTACTTCTTGTCAAGGTAACCTGCTCGCAGTGCATTTGCAATGCAACTGTCAGTGATTTTCTCCCATGAATTCTTCATCCAAGTCACAACTTCTTGCAGTTTAGGTTTCACAAAGTTTCCATGCTGATTTCTCTCCATTCTATTTTCAAAGTAGTCATTAATTTCCATGAGCAAATTGTCTTTGAATGGCTTGTTTATTGCAATATCAAGAGTCTGGAGATAGGCCAACATTCCTGCAGGAATCATTATCTGATCTATTTTTCTTTCATGAAGAAATGTCTTCATGTCTTTAGTGCAGTGAGTGCTGGCTGCATCCCAGACTAGCAGACCTCTTTGGCTCTCTCGACAGAGCCTGGGCGGGGGGACTTATTTTCAGGGGGATGTCTTATATTTCACTCAGAAGGAAACCTGTAAGTAAGTCTTATTTTCCGAGGATGTTTTATTTTTGGGAAAACATGGTAGTATTTCTTATATAGTATCTCATCCTCTCCTCCACATCTAGCTACTTTCCATTTCTTTAATCACTTTCAACAAAACTTTAAAAAGAATTGCTTGCTCTTTATATTCACTGTCTCCATTTCTTTCCCTGATATTTTCACCCTCTAGTCAGGCTTTTTCTACCACTATTCCACTGAAAGTGGAACTAATGACCGACCAACATGTTAATTAAAATATTGACCAATTCTCAGGGCCCCATCCTCGTCCCCAGCAGTCTGTTTTGGCACAGTGCAGCGCGTATAGGGCTCCTTTGAAAACCTGGTCAGATCAGGACACTCACCCACCCCCACAGCTCCATCTCCCAATTGGAGGAAAAATCAAAGTTCCCATAGGCCATGAATGGCAAGTCACCCTCCTCCTCTATCTTTTCTCTGACCTTGTCTCCTCTGAGCATGCTGCTGCCCTTCATTCTGGGCTGTGCCCCTGACAAAGTGATGATGATAATGGTTATTATTTTAGAGGTAACTCTGCATTTATTTTAAAACTTCCAACCAAATGTCATCCTAATCCCTTCACCTTGCTTTTCCCCACCTGCCAAACTCATTTAGCTTTGAAAGGGAGATGGGAAAATTCCCAACCAATAAAATTATGTTAATTCTGGGTAATAATTAAAGATTAATTTGGAATCATTATAGTCATACTTGCTGAGCCCCCTCTGTGTGCCATGCTCTTGCCTCAAATACCCACAGTGCTCCTCTCTCCTCCTCTGAATATCTGCTCAGATGCTGCCTTCTCGGCAAGGCCCCCCGTCACCACCCTATTGAAACACTACTCTACCCCCGGCACACTTTATTCCACTTTCTTGCTTTTTCTCAGAGCAATTATGCCAGCACTAAAATACACATTCTCTGAGGGCAGGAACTTCTTGTTTTGTTCATTGGTGTAACCTTCATAGGTAGAACATGCCTGGCACATAGTGAGTGTCCAGGAGACTCTTGCTGAGAGGATATAGGCACGAATGAGTGGCTTACAGAGGACACACAGGCCCCAGAGCGACTCACAGGTCCAGCTGGAACTCCTGGGCACCCTCTGGGGGAGGCTTCCTGGTGATGGCATAGACCAATGATCTGAAGGGCCTGGGTATCATTCTGTCTATTCCCTTCCTCTGAGCTGATTTACACAGGCTTCCCTCTGCCATTAACCACACCCCTAAGGAAAGGGCCTTCCACACCTTGCCTTCCTCTGTATCACCCGCTGGCAATGCTTCTATTGGCTCAGTGGACCACAAACTCCCTGTTTGAATAGATTCCCTTTTCCATCGCAGGGAAAGGAACAAGCACCTCCAGGATGAAAGGGACATATGTTTTCAGGTAAGTGCGCGGTGCCCCCTCCTCTCGGGAAAGACAAGGACTGTGGTCTAGTGGCAGCCAGTGCCTGAGCCGGGACTGGCCGGCAGTATCCTGAGGTTTGGGGTCTCCTTGGCAGGACCATGGCATATGCTTTTTAGAAAATAATAAAAAAGCCGGGGACCTCCTGGGTAACAGTGTGATAATTTCCCATGAAATCACACACTTCCCTCTTGGCATAACAAGGCAAGTAATGGGGAGGGTCACGTGTTTCTTTGATGCAGAAATGCTACTTCTGTCCCTGAGATGATGCAGTTGAAATGTCATGATCACTTTACACCACAATGCTCACAGCGTTTTTCTTCATTAAAATTTTTATCTTTTGGTGAAAAATTTGCATTATAATTCAAATTATGTATACTTTACAATTCATATAGCAGATTTTATGAGCAATGTTTTTATCCTGTGGGGACTCCTGCTTCTCCAGACCTGAGCACAATGCTTATACATTTTCCCAAATAACTCTAAATTCTATATTTATTTAAAATTTTCCCTTTGGGCTGCATTAAACAAAATCTAGGATCCCACATTCCCCTACTCTCTTCCCTCTTAGACAGCAGCTGTTAGATGCTCTCAAGGGAAGAAAAATGGTGGCAGGACTGATTGATATAGGTTTTTAATTATTAGAATGATCACACCATGAAGTTCATGTGTGTCCTTCCTTGGGCAAGTTTTTTGCCTCCTTGGACCATGGCCCTGCTTACCTCATCAGGAAAGGGAATCTCTATTCTTTATTTTCACCCCCCACCAATTGTAGGTATTTTTGAGAAAAACTTTTGGAAAGAGGAGGTCTTGCACTGGACCCTTGGCTGAACAGTGGTCTGAATGCAGGCGGCAAGGGGCAGCTAGTTTGCCCTGAATGAAGTGCGCCGGGTTTATAATTGTGAATCCTGGAGGGGCCTTGTTCCACCATTTATTTTCTATCACTGACTGGCAGCAAAGACCTCTGCGCCACCTGAGTACTACCAGAGCAAATTCAGCCTACACGTGTGTTTGATGATGATAATGATTATTATTTTAGAAGTAACTCTGCATTTATTTTAAAACTTCCAACCAAATGTCATCCTAATCCCTTCACCTTGCTTTCCCTCACCTGCCAAACTCATTTTGCTTTGAAAAGGGAATTGGCTTAAGAAAGAGGAATAAAATTAATTCTGGGTAATAATTAAATATTAATTTGAAATCATTATAGTCATATTTGCAGAGGCCCTAGGAGTCCTGCCACTGCTCCCTCTCCCCACTTAAGGATCATCAGGAATCATGAGGATGGCTGGTTAATGAGAGATTCCTTTAGGGACTGTTGGAGAGCATTGGCAAAGAGGTTGCAAGCCCCTACCCCAACCAGGCTCTTCATTACAGATGTGTGAGCCATTTATTTACATCCAGTGCCCTCCCATAAAAGGTTTGAAATACCCTATGCTCACTTAGTAGCTATGGACAGGGGCTGGGTGGACAGATCTTCTGGGCTGTTCTCTTTATTATGTATGAGACTTTGGGAATGCCTGGAACTGGAGCCACACAGAGAGTGTGATTTAAAGAGGCAGAGTCTTTTCTGTCCATAAACAGTCTTCCTATGCTTTCCACATTTAGCTTCTCTTACTTGTGCTCTTGCAAATGATCAATAATCCTGTGAAGGGCAATATCATGGACCCCAGGCTCTAAACTGTGTGTTGGCTCATTTGATTAGGTTATTAAACAGTAAGTGGAGGGATTCTGGTGAAAAATGCCAGCAGGGGGACCAGAATATCACTTGCTTATTCAGAGTTTTGTCTAAAGCCTGACCTATGAGGTGGGAAAGTTGAGCCCTTTCTGCTCAAACATTGGGACAAACTGGCAGGCATGGATCTGAGGTTCTTTTGTGTTTCTGCAGAAAGATAAGGCAGCCAAAGCAAACACAGCTGCTGCCAAGGCAAGCTGGAAACAGAGATCTGGCTCTGTGATAGGCAAATATATGGACAGCAGAGGGATCCTTAGAAGGTAAGTTGTCCTCTATTTGTTCACTCGTTATCTGTTCTTTGGTGTTGTTCTCCTGGGGAGCCTGTGCTGTGCTGAGTGCACGCTAACCCTCGAGAAGTGACACTGGGGGAGAAACCTGGGGTCAGCTGTGCTCACTCCCCTTGAATCTTGGAGGACATATCCCTTCCTGTTCTGACATCCAAGGAGGAGCTAGTGCAGAGCAAGCCCCTAGGACAGGCCATTGTCTTTTCTGTCCCTCCCGTCCTGCCCAGTGTGTGCCTGCAGAGAGGGACTGGATCAGTGCTATAGATCAGCAGAGGAGAGAGAACAAGAGAGATCAGGGACAGAGAGGGAAGGTGTGGCCTGACAATGCCCAGTTGTCAGTTGAGCAGAATGGATACACTTGGCTTTTCAGGCACATGGATATTTGGGCTCTGAAGGGCAATTAAAATGTCCTATGGAATCTCTAATAGTTGAACTCATTCACAGACAAGAATAGGTCTTGTGCTTGACTAATTTCTTTCAATGATTCATATTTAATTAACTCAAAGATGACATATTTTGTTCCCGTTGGATAACACATAATTGCATCCCCAAAGAGGCGCTGTTTATTCAGAAACCAGCCAATTCCTTTCTTCTTGTTGTTGTTGGCATGTGCTCCATCCATACTGGTGGCCCAAGAGAGGTAGAGGCAGCTGGATCCCTTAGTATTAGATCTGGAGAGAAAGTGTGTGAACTTGCTCATCTAGGAGACACTGAGGACAGCAAGCATGCAATACTCGGTGGGCAAAGGGAGGTGGCTCTGGGCTGTCAGTCAGCTCATGAGTCAAGTTTCTGGACCTGATCATTGTGAATTTCTAAGTATCTGAACAGTGAGATACAATTTTGGAGCTAAGTTTGTGGAATAATAGTTGGCCTGTTGGTTCCACAGAAACTAATCTATTCATTGATTGATTCCGTCAATAAGCTTTTACAAATTACCTCCTCTATAGTAGACAGTCTTTTGAGTTCTGTGAAGATTCCAAAGATAAATTAGACATGAGTCCTGCCATTATTATCTATTATCGAGTGCCTGCTATGTGCAAAATACTGCGCTGTGTGCCGGGTATAAATACAGTGGTGAGTAAACAGACTCTGAGGCCACTTCCCCCTGACTGACTTGCAGGGTCACTGAAAGAGAAAGGGAAAGGAAGGAGAAGCAGATCAAGATACCCTGGCTTCCTTTGACCCAAAGCCCATTCTCTAGTAGGCAGCTGCCTCTGAGCCAGGAGACATCTGACTAGTGGGGACAGACAGTTAGTTAGAGCTGGCCTTGGGACCAGAGTGGAGGTTCTCTGATTGTTAACTCAAGATGCTTTAGTTATGCTCCTTTCTTCACACCGTTTTCTTCTCTATCAGCATTTCTCGCAACTTGTAAAAATGTGTTTAGTTGTGTCATTATTGCTTTAGCCCCTCCACTAAGCTGAGCATTCTTTAAGGACAGGGGATGTGTCCATTTGTTCATGACTGTGATATTAGCTTAATACCTGGTAGATCATCATTATTACCTTCACTGGCATCACCATCATCACCTTCATCACCTTCCCCATCAGGCACTTGTATAAGTGTCTTTAGTGAATGAACTAAACAATGCTGGGTCTGGTTTTCCCATTCCCAGGGCTCTGTGCCCCCAAGGTGTTTTGCTCTTTTGTCATCTGTCAGAAAAGCTATATGGCTTCCATATTGATACATTTTACCATTTGCTCCCCCCTCCTCTTTCTTCTCCACCCCAAAATAGCCAGTCAGAGGAGGAGGAAGATGTGTTTGGCATGATGAGGAGGAGGAGCTCCCTGGGCCTGAGTGGGTATCCCCTTACAGAAGAGGAGCCAGGAGCCAGGGAACCAGGGGCTGAAGGTCCACTCCCCCGGGCACTCCGCAGAATCATCTCCATTGAAGAAGACCCCCTGCCCCAGCTCCTGGATGGCAGCTTTGAGCGGCCACTGAGCAAATGCCCAGAAGAGGAGGAGGTCTCCGACCAGGGGGTGGAGGGACAAAGCCAGCAGGCCCAACCTTCTCAGCTGGAACTCATGCCCACATCTCCCCGAGGGCAGCCTGTTGGGAAAGAAGCTCTGTCTAAGGTAAGGGAACATTGCACCTTGGTTTTAGGGATCACTCCTATGCCATGCCCAGAAGGCAAATTAAGAAATCAGATGTGACTGGTCTCACGATTCACTATATTTGTGTCCTTCAAATACTATCTTTCTCTGCTAAGCTGAGTGTTTTGGGTGAGACTCAGGGGTCCTAGAAAATTCTCCTTATAAACTCTGATGTTTGCCCTACTCCCTACACTATGCTCTTTTCTGATTCAGCAAAAGGCTCCAATCCCATGTCCCACCAAGTCTTCCTCTCAACTCTGGGTAGAAGGATGCTATATGAACCATCTTCCTCTGGCTCATAGTGATGATGTTCCACACCTTGTTTGTGACCAAAGTGTAGGAATAGGCTCCTTGAGCCCTGACCCCTCCACTTGACCCTCCAAAGCAGCTTTAGAAATGTCCCCGGCAGTGTGGAAGAGGCTCCTCCCTGCACATCAGGCCAGCCCTTTAGAATTGAGCCCTTGCCATCTTGACCGTTTCCATGGCTGTATTAGCATGTGTGACAGGAAGACTTCTCTGGCCACCATGTGGGGACATATGGTATCAGTTATCACTCTTGGGTCTGGACTAAGGTTCATTCCTATGTGTCACTCCTCTGAAGGGTGGAATAGTGGAGACCTAGGCTCCAGGGAGGGTGGAGAACTGGTGGCCCCCACTGGTGGGTGGGCCCCTTCACCTACCTGTCCTTCCTTAACCCTGTCAGCGCTATTCATGTAGGCATTTCCAGTACCCCATGCTTTCCCCACAAATGTGAAAGAAATATCAAGAGGCCAGCAGTAGACGGAAAAGACTAAGTCTGCTATGGTATTTGATCCTTGCAGTCATCTGATGAGGCTTCGGAGATGTATTCTTCCTTCTGGCAGACTGGGAAGTCAAGTTCAAAGGGGTGCAGCCTGGCCCAGCCTTCTCCCTCTGCTCTCACACATTGAGGCTCCACCAGGTTGGATGCCTTCCAGCTGGGGACAGAAACTGCAGCAACGAGGAAATGCGATCCACCAGCAGCCACAACAGCTTCAGCAGAGTCTCTGCTCTTGAGGAAGGTGGCATGAGGCAGGCCCTTCAAGCCAGGCTGCTGAGCCAGAAACTGTGTAACCTTTAGGGACAGTAGATTGATAGCAGAATCACGAACTTACAGATACCACGTCCTTTGAACCAGCACTTCTCCTTCTAGCAATCTTCTCTCAGGAAATAACTAAAGTCAGACAAAAATTTAATCCAAGAATATAAGTGTAGCCAAAACCTGTTTGGCTCAGTGGATAGAGCATCGGCCTGCGGACTAAAGGGTCCCGGGTTCAATTCTGGTCAAGAGCATGTACCTTGGTTGCGGGCACATTCCCAGTAGGTAGTGTGTAGGAGGCAGCTAATCAATGTTTCTCTCTCATCGATGTTTCTAACTCTCTATCCCTCTCCCTTCCTCTCTGTACAAAAAAGTATATTTTTAAAAAAAGAATATAAGTGTATAATAGCAGACAGGAAAATCTAATAGGACATAAACTATAGCATATTAATTCAGTAGAATGTTACACTGTTGTTAAAAATAACATTTAGCCCTAACCAGTTTGGCTCAGTGAATAGAGTGTCGGCCTGCAAACTCAAGGGTCCCAGGTTCAATTCCAGTCAAGGGCATATAACTTTGTTGCAGGCACATACCCAGTAGGGGGTGTGTAGGAGGCAGCTGATCAATGTTTATCTCTATCATCAATGTTTCTAACTCTCTCTCCCTCTCCCTTCCTCTCTGTAAAAAAATCAATAAAATATATTTTAAAACAACATTTAAAAAATAGTGAACCAGATAAATATTCATAATTTAGTAATATAAGAAAATAATAAAATTATAATATCTCAAGTCACTCTATAAAACATATGTTCATTCATCTATATAGAAAAAAAGCTTGGAAGAAATGTATTTGAACATGAGTAGTAACCACTGCAGAGAAGTAGGATAGATTATAATTATTATTTTCTTCCCTACCTTTCTGTTTTTCCTAGTTCTAAAAAACATAAAATTAAAAAATGCACATATCAGTTTTACTTTTAAAGTGGTGGGAAGGAGGTGAACAGACCTTTTTCCAGTTCTCTTGCCCCAATCCAGTTGGCTCACTGTGGATTAGCCCCAGAAGGGACACGATTAAGTGCATGAATGCGGAGTAGGAGTTTGCTGCCTCTGGGAGGTGTGTCCTGCCGCTGCTGAACCATCAATAAATGTGTTTATCTTCTTTGGCCTGAAAAACAATAGTGTTCTGTCCCATGGTGGGGGTGGGCACAGGGCTAATGACAGGCACAGCCCCTGTAGCTGGAACCTGCTCCCCTTGCCCTGGGCTTCTCATGCCTCCCCCACACCTGGGCCTGAGGACAGATGCCCTAACCTCTAACCCTAACCCCTAACCCTAACCCTAACCCTAACCCTAACCCTGCTCTGAGCTTTCGTCTCAAACAAATTACAGGGAGACAGAGGCTGAGCAGGCAGTGGCAAAGAGCCCATACCCTTGGCATTGCAAGAGTAAAGAAAATGAGGCATCGGGCATAGTTTTTGAGTGTGGAGCCTTTTTTTCTTTAAGTTTAAATTTCTGAAATTGACCTTGACTTCCCACTTAAGTGCTGCATGGAATTGATTTCTCCCCAAAAAGCTGTTAGTGGCTTTTCTCTGATACTCAAGTACTGCTAAGATCTGTTGCCACTCCATTATAGTATTTGCTCGATGAGAGGAGCTAATTCCCCCAAATCCACTTCTAAATTGATTTCAAAGAGTTTCCTCACCTAGGCCAGCAGTGCTGGGCTGGGTTTGAAGGCAGGATTGGGGGGAATGAGCAAACAACTCTCCCCCCAAAAAATGAGGGCTTCATGGAGAGCAATGGCCCTGTGCGGGCAGCAAGTCCTTACTCTGCCGCTCATTCCCTCAGTGTCTAAGCAAGTCCATTCCCCACTGGGCCTCAGCATCCCGGACAAATGGGCGGCAGGCTTAGCCCCAGCCCTCCTGTTGCTGGGTAGGGCAGGAAGAGCAGCAGTGCTGGGGGATTTGAACACTCTGCCAGTGGCCTGCTGTTAGGATTTCCGAGTCTACGAGGGGGAGACTATCTTGCCTTTGTTCCCAGGGCAAATGGGGATCCTGGATGGAAGCTGATGAGATGGGACTGAAGAGCAAAGGGCAGGGAGGCAAGAGTATCCCTGTCAGTCCAGGCTTTCAATGAAAGGGCAGAAGCAAGAACCCTACCCTAGCTTGGGCTGTCTCTGGCCATCTAACAAAGATGTCTTTTTTTTGTCTCCCCTCCTCCCTTTCTATCTCCCTATCCCCCCTTTCACCACCCCTGCCTCTGCTTTAAGCCCAGCTCAGAGCTTCTGCTGGGTGGATCCTGGCTCTCTTCCCTGCAACCCGAGCATTGGAACATTGTGCTGAGATGGTCCGTTTACACGCCTGTTCCCTTCTTTCCACCACAAGGCAAGCCTCATCCTAATCTCTGAATCATAGTAGGCAGACAACAGTGCTGTTTGAATGAGTGTCCCTCTTCCCCTTGCTGATGCCCTGAGCCCAAAGCTACCTGCATCTGTACCTGGGCGGTCTCCTGGTGCCAGTGGGGAGGCCAGGTCCTCACTGTCCCCTACACACCAAAGGGATGGGAGAAGGGCAGGTGGTGGCAGTAGCAGGGCTAGAACCCAGACTGTCTGCTGTCCACAGGAGGAAGGCACCCTCTCCACCCCAGACCGGCTCTTCAAGATTGTGTTTGTGGGCAACTCTGCCGTAGGGAAGACATCCTTCCTGAGGAGATTCTGTGATGACCAGTTCTCCCCAGGCATGACAGCCACTGTGGGTAAGTTCTCGCCCATAAACTGGGTCCCACCACCTCTGGGAAGGGGAAGTTGTGAGAAGGGGGCCCAGGGAGGGACTTGGAGCTCAGTGGAAGCAGCTGTGGGCCCTCAGGGAGGGGAGCCCTGGTCTGCCTGCTCCACAGTGAGGCTGAGGGACAAGTGCAGTCCGTTCCTGCAGAGGACTAGCTGCTAAGCTCACTTCCAGTGGGACAAGACCACCAAAAGCTTCCCATGTCCAGCCTGAGTGGAACTGAAGTTGCCAAAGATAGACTTCGGACCTATCTGAGCCTATCTCTCTCTCTTTCTTTTCACTTTCAGCAGGGAATCCAAATTTTCATGTTCCTGCTGGGGCTTACTCCCTTTCCCCCTCCCCCCGCCCCTGCCACCACAACCCCTCCCTCCCCCCCATGAGCCAGCTGCTTCCATGCCCTGCCCCCCTCAGTGTGTGTGTGTGTGTGTGTGTGTGTGTGTGTGTGTGTGTGTGTGTGTGTGAGAGAGAGAGAGAGAGAGAGAGAGAGTAGGAGGGAGGGAGGGAGGAAGGGAGAGAGGAAGGGCAGAGCTCTAGATGGCTCCTTTACTCAGATGTTACCCATCCTGCCTCCTGGGCCTTGCTGGGTGACAGCTGGAGTTCATTGGAGAAGCCCGTTAGGCGCAGCTATTAGTGAATGATCAAGGCTTAATGTGCTCCCACTCCTGTGTAATATTTTATTTAGGTGGAGGACTTTCTCCCTTCCCCAAAGTTGCTCATTGCATTGGAATATGTGGTGAGACCACAGGCATCTTGACCTTTTTAGCTTTTACCAAGTTGAATCACCCAAACAAAAATTAAGTCCACTAAGTGCCTACTGTATAGCATTTAACCACACTGATAAATCAACTATATTTGAAAATATATGGATATATCTGAATATTTACCCTGGGCTTTCATATTCATCATTTCACTCTACCTTCATACAACCCTGGGAGGCAAGTGTTGTTATCAGCCCAATGGACAGATCAGGAAACTGAGGCCCAGAGAAGGAGGCTTGTCCACAATCCCATTAGCTGGTTGATGCAGATTCTGACCTCCCCTCTGCCCCCATACCCCTTCTGTTCAATTCCACAGTGTTCCTGGTAACACTAAGTGTGTGTGTGCTCAGCACCCCATGGGTTTCGAAGACACTTCCCTGCCACGGGAAGTAGACAGGTTGGTGCAGGCAGGGGAGGCTGCTGAGGTTCAATGAGGCATTAGAAGTCCTGGTTCTTGTCTCTGCTCTGCCACTAATCACTCCAGGGGAACACGTTCCCTCTTTGGCTTCAGTTTTTCTCATCTGAAAAATGAGGGAAATGAACTGGGTCACATGACACTGCTTCCAGGCCATCTTTTACCTTTGGGTGTCTGAGAGCTGGCCCCACAAGATAAACTTTTCTGCCCCAGAGTCCTGTCTGGGGAGACTCCATGTTCTTCCTCTCATCCTGAATTGGCCTTTCTTCCAACTTTCCTCTGCAGATGGGTCTCCTCTCACATGCTTCAGGGTGCCATTCTTACTGCTGGGCCTGTTCCTGTGATGTTTTCACATCTGGAATATCCTCCTGCCCCTCCCTTCTGCTCCATTTCACCCAAAAACTGAGAACTCCTCAAGATTAAGAATTGGGACCCTGAAAGGGAGAAGAGCAGAGCTATGAACCCATCCCAGAAAAGTCTGGCCTTGTCTGCCCTGGAGAAAAGTGACTTGGAGTGAGCCAGGCGCACCGAGTATGGTGACACAGGGAACAATGGCTGAGGAGGTGGACTTGAATTCCTGGGAGATCATCAGTGGAATGGGCCCCCACCAGCCATGGCTCAAGCACAGACCATGAGAGCCAGGAGGACAGATTCTAAGCATTTAGATACCTCTCCTGTTGAAATCAGGGAATCAGGGTTCGTTTACATTTCCAACTGATGTCCCTAAGATGGAAGTCTCTAAAAAGAGAAAAGCAAACTAATTTGCACTTCCCAGGGGGCCAATTATGGAAACACCTACAAATTAGGGGCAGGAACTGCAGCTCAAATTAGTGTCTTAGCTACACAGCAGGCCTTGCTCTGATGCACTTGTCAGTAGGCATAGTACAGTCACAGAAGCCACCTGACAAATGTTCCTATAAAATGACAGGAGAGCCACAGAGTCCTGGTCCTGGAGGGCCAAAGTGGTCCAACCCTAGATTGGAGCTCTAGCCAACCACCTGTCCAGGGCAGCAGCCCCTGAACCATGAACACAGTACAAACAGGGACTCAGCAGCCCCTTAAAGCTCATCTCCTTTATCAAAGGGGACTTTCTGGCTTCCCATTGCCTCAAGGGAACATGACTGGTACCCTACTCCTGGCTTGTGCACAATGTGAGTTCTACAATACAACAGTGTGCCTTGAGCACCTGCCTGCACCACTTTAGCACCACATGATTCCTTCACAAACAGGTGTTTGGGTCCTATGGGTGTCAAAGGATGGTCTTCTAGAACATCGGAGTTCATTTTGTAAATGAGAAAACTGATCGTTAGAGGCTAAAGCTCCCTAGAACCCAGGACCCCTGAGTCCAGTGTTTTTTTACTGCCCCACCTGGAGTCACTGCCCCTGCTTTTCTCAACAGAATGCACTCTGCTCTTTCCTGGCCACCAGTTGGGTTTCTATCCCACTCCCCATCTTTACAAAGACATTTCTAGTTGTCTCCATGGCAACTTGCAGAAACTCCCATTCCCTCATCTGTCTTGCTCTAAATGACAGCTTGATCCTGTCTTGTCACCCTTTCTGGAGTCCATCAACCAGCTTTAACTCATTACCATCCCTCAACACAACACACTTCATGGTCACAGAGGCTTCTGATTTCTAGCCGTCATTCAGGAACCAGTTAGGTTGCAAGTAGGAGATCATTTCCATGTGTTCATTGAATGCTACAGCTGAACAGATTCTGAGCACCAACTTACCCCTCCACACCTTTCATCACATCTCAATTTACAGGTGAGGACAGTGAAAACTCCCCCCAAATGAGATGAAGTAATGTCATCATGATCACATAGCTGGTCAAAGGCAGGACTGAGACAGGAATACAACATGGCCGCCTGGCTCCTGGGATGTTAGAACTGGTGATGGTCTTAAAAGTCAGTGTAATTCAGGCCCTCTGGTCCCATGTTATTGTGTTGTCTCTTCTGTTGGCCTTGACGCCTTGTGTCTCTACCTTTGCTTACCTCTCCCTTCCATGGACTTATCTGCTTCCTGGACCTGCCTGTCTGAGGCTGCAGAGAGAAGCAACAGTACCTGGCAGGGACTCTTCACCAAGCTCACTACAGCACAAAACCTGTTTTGTTTTGTTTTCCAGCATTCCTTTGCCCCCTCACTTTTTGCAAGATAAACATCCTGTCCTCCAACAAAACAATCAGCCAGTGAGGTAGAGCATAATCATAAAGAGCTGAGACCTGGCTGCTCCCCCTGCCTTCAAGCCTTTCTTTCCACCAAGAAGTCGGCTCTGTCCTTGGGCTTCCCAGCTTGAGCTGGATGGTTTCAGGTCAGGCCATGAAAGTGTGTTAACAGTGCTAGCATTCTCTTGACTTGTTTCCAGAAAGTAGGCAGCCCCTTCAGTCTCCTAGAGTATACGCTGGGGAAACACTTCCACTTTTAGCCAAGAAGAAAGCTCACCCTGGATTCAGCTCCCAACCAGTTGTAATCCATTTGGATGGAAGCACTTATCCCTGGACTTTCCAGGTGAAATGAAGCTGCCAGGCGTCTCTGTGCCCAGGATATGGTGTAAAAGGAAGAATGATCCTCAAAGCTGGATTTGCAACACACTGCAACTAATGAGCTTGGACGACACATGCTATCTCTGGATTCTTGTTTTTTTTTGTTTTTGTTTTTTTTGTGTTTTAATCTCTTATTGGTGAGGTGGGTGGAGGTGGTATGCATATACATATCTGTGTGCATGTGTATGTATGTGCATGAGTATGTGTGCAGATAACTCAGATGATGTCACAGGGGGAGCACTGTGCTATTAAGTGGAAAGACAGCATATGAAAGTTAGAAATATCAAGCATTCTACCAATGGGTCAAATCACTCTTTTCTCTACCTAGAAAATGTACTGCTCCCTCTGCCCTCATCTGCGAAGCACAGGGCCTCTGGAGTCATTCTAGGGGTGATGACTTTCCCACCTCTCCTCCACTCATGGGCCCATAATGCACTGGCCTCTGCCTGGAGACAGTGGCTGGGATGACCTTTTCCATTGATTGCCTCTTCATTGTCTGTTTTGTCACTTCTGTCTTTTCCAGTGCAAGCTGCTAGTGCTGTCCCTCCCTTAGCCCTCCAGGGTAAGGACCTCAGAAGCCGGGCCCTTTTGGAGGTGGTAGAGGATGCCCTCTGTTTCCAAGATTTGATACCTTAAGAGGGAAATACTTTTTGAACCTCATTAAGCATTTGTGAACATTCTTAAAGGATGTAGAGAGAGGAATGTCTTATCGAGGAACTTCTGAGGGCTGCTGTGGGCTCAGAATGCGTGTACCTGAGCTTGCTCCCTCTCTCTGTGGTTCATGACTTCAAGTGGGATTGCAACGTCTAAGAAACCATTATTAGTGGCCCAGTGGCTGGGATTAGGAGCTCTGATGCCATCTCAAGGGTGAATGCTGCCTTTGATTCCCTCCCCATCCTCTTCTCTTGTAGCCCTCCCTCCACCTGCCACCCCTTCCTCTCCTCCTGCTCCTTCTGTTCCTCCTCTGGCTCTGTCACATACATTTGCAGTGGCTGATGGAAGTCTGAAAGTATGATCCATACCCAGGAATATTTGAACTTTATTAGGGGAACTTTGAAAATGATTTTAGGAAGAAGAGAAAGGAGGGAGGGAGGGAAAGCACAGAAAAAGAGAGGGAGGGAGGGAGGGAGGGAGGGAGGGAGGGAGGGAGGGAGGGAGGGAGGGAGGAAGAGAGAGAGGGAAGGAAAGAAGAAGGGAGGGAGAGAGGGAGGGAAGAAAGGAGGGAGGGAGGGAGTGAGGGAGGGAGGAAGGGAGGAAGGGAGGGAGGGAAGAAGAAATGGGTGAAGGAAAGGGAAAGAAAGAAATTTAAAGACAGTCTTTCATTCTCCTCTATCTTTGCAGTGAGGGAGTAAATTTATGAATATAACAAAGTCTTTGCATTGGCATATTGCTTTTACATATGTGATCTCATTTGAATCTGTAGCATCCCTAAGGAGGGTATGGATTACATTACAGGCAGGAGCCTGCAGTTCAGAGCAGTTATGTGATTTGATAATAAGTAGTAGAGACAGAATCAGGCCCCACACCTCCCTGTCCAGTGCTTTGTCCATTTCCCCACATCGCCTCCCAGGAACTACACAGGAGCTGTCATCCTTGACCTGACAAGATTCCAGACATATTGGGGCATCATGTTCTTATTTGGAAGTAACAGGCCTGATCCACCTTGCAGGCATTGATTACCGTGTGAAGATGGTACGTGTGGGTGACTCTCAGGTGGCCCTGCAGCTGTGGGACACGGCCGGGCAGGAGAGGTGAGGAGCCGTCCCTGATGTAACACTGCCTCCCCCATTCCCCCAGTGGGGCCGAAGGTCTGGGCTGCAGGAAGGGCTGTGCTCCCCTGACCTGTGGCCCTTCGATGGCAGGTATCATTGTATCACCCAGCAGTTCTTCAGAAAGGCCGATGGTGTCATCGTCATGTATGACCTCACAGCCAAACAGTCCTTCTTGTCGGTCCGGCAGTGGCTGAGCAGCGTGGAGGTGAGCTGGTGACCATCCTAGGAGCACTATGCAGGCCTCTTGCTCTTCTCTCTTCTCTGCCCATCTCCTGCCTATCCCTCTGCTCTTTCAAAACCTGATCAGTACCCACCTTCTCCAGGAACAAACCAGTTCATGCACTGTAGTATCCCTAAGGAGAGTATGGATTACATTACAGGGAGGAGCCTGCAGTTCAGAGCGTTTATGTGATTTGATAATAAGTAGTAGAGATAGAATCAGGCCCTACACCTCCCTGTTTACCCAAGTGGCCAGTACCAAGCTACTACTGGGGACTCTAAAGTGACCAAAACAGATACAGTCCCTGCTCCAATGGGACATAAAAAATAGAGATTACACCAATAATTGTATCATTATGATTTCAATAAGAGCTATAAGTGAGTAGGACAGGATTAGAGGAGCAGCACAGTGTACAATGTCAAGGAAGGTGTCCTTGAGAAATGAGTATTTAAACTGAGTTACAACTGTGCTGTTCCCCCATTCTCATTACCACCTCCCTAAACCCCTGCATTTTCTAGCTCCAATGGCCCCAGCTATGCCCAGCCAAAAGTAATATCATACAGTGTTTTGGGGCCTCTGTAACAATGCTTCACATGAGGGGATGTTGACCCACAATGTGAGGGCCCCAGGCTCACTCCAAAGTCACCCTAGGTGGGGCCCACAAACAGCAGCACTCTTATTTGAATTCTGGATTATCCCTGAGACACTACCTATTGACTTATACTTGCAATATGTCCCTTTTAACTTTCTAACCACCTGCATGCTCTTCCTTTACCACTTAAATGCAAACTTTTCAAGGCCAAGGGCAGAGTGGGCAAGCCACTTACTTCTTTTAATAGGGTCTTGCTGATTCATTTACAAAGCAATCATGTAGGGTATCCCATTTCCTTCCACCAGCACAATTCATGCATTGTTCGTTTATTTGTTCAAAACACTGCCAGCCACTCTCCTAGGATCTGGGAATTAAAGCAGCATGTAGATAAAGCAATGCCCCTGTCCTCACAGAGCTTACGGTCAACCTCAATTCAAGCCCATTAGACCTTCCGTGGACCCCTTACCTACTTCCCACACTGACACACTGCTATGAAGGACATAGTTCCCAGCTAAGGTCTGTGCCACATGCACTCTGGGAACTGAAACTGTCTCTTTGTTATAATAACAAAGCGCTTGCATGGGGCCCCACAGCACTACTGCTCAACCCACATTGGATGCCTGAATGGATGCTATATTGTTGTGCAATCAGAATCCCGGAGTTGTTCACTTCTTCATTCTTTGGCCCTAATATCTATGATTCTTCCCACCAAAATCTCTTGCTCTTATAGTTTGGACTGGCTATGCCTCTTCTTTCTCTACTTATTTATTTATTCTTTTTTTTTTCTAAGAGAGAAAGAAAGGGAGAGAATGAGAGAGAGAGAGAGAGAGAGAGAGATGAGAGGGAGACATGGATCAACTGCCTCCTCCACACCCCTACCTACTGGGGCTCAATTCTGCAACCTGGATATTGTACCTTGACCAGGTATTGAATCAGAAACCTTTTGGTGCATGGGATTAATGCCCAACCCACTGAACCCCACTGGGCAGGGCTCCTTTCTCTACTCTTAATCCCCATTCTTCTCATTTTCCCCAAAGTAAAGAATAAGAATGGAAGTCAGATTCTTGGGTTTTTCAGAAATTTGCTTAAATCAAATTATTTCTCAAAATTGTTGAGCCTAAAAACAGTTATAATTGAGAAAATATATATTTTGAAATGTAGTAAATGGCTCTACACTAAGCTATTAATAGAAGCAAATGGTATGAGTCATCTATATAGAAGTGGATCCTGTTTGAACTTTGGGATCTCAGACCTGACTTTTCTTTGACAGCACCAGTGATTTATCTTCCTCGTTGAAGTTAAGCACCAGAGACTTTAGTGCTTACTTGATACAGTGGTTTTCAAACTTTCTCTGGTGGAACTCTAGAATCAGAGTGACACACCCAGGGACAGAGGCAGAGCATGGAAAGGTATAACATCACAGTTCTGGGCCCCTTGTCCTCTCTCTCAGTCAGAGGCACTCTAGTTCTTTCAGTTTGGTATATTGGAGGTACAGTTTGGTATATTGGAGGTACAGGTACAGTTTTGCTACTTAAGAGGATTTCCCTTTAAAAATCACTAGTTTAAGACAGCCATCTCATTCTCAAATTAAGAGGTTGAGGATATGCTTTGGTCAGATGGCTCAGTTGGTTGGATCATTGTCTCATACACCAAAAGATTATGGGTTTGGTTCTTGGTCAGGGCATATAGCCAGGTTTTGGGTTTAATCCCAAGTTGGTGCAAGTATGGGAGACAACTGATCACTATTATCTCTCACATAGATGTTTCTCTCTCTCCCTTCCTCTTTCTAAAAATTCAATAAGAAACATATCCTCAGATGAGAATTTAAAGAAAGAAAGAAAGAAAGAAAAGAAAGAAAGAAAGAAAGAAAGAAAGAAAGAAAGAAAGAAAGAAAGAAAGAAAAAGAAATTGAGCCATAACATTTTTTTTTGGGGGGGGGGGGGGAGGCCAGACATTCCTTTTCTAGCCACAAATATTTTTTTTTATATTTTAGTTTTCCAAGTACAGTTTACATACAATATTGTATTAGTTTTAGGTGTATAACATAGTGATTAGACATTTATATACCTTAAAAAGTGATCATCCTGATAAGTCTAGTACCCACCTACCACCACACATAGTCTGTTCTCTGTATCTGGTAGTCTGTTTCTAATTCTGTACTATTTGTTTCTTTATGTTGTTCTTTAGATTCTACATATAAGTGAAATCATGTGGTATTTGTTTTTTGCTGTCTGACTTATTTCACTTAGCATAATACCCTTTAGGCCCATTCAGGTTGTCTCAAATGGCAGGATTTCATTTCTTTCTATGTCTGAGTAATATTCCATGTATGTATGTACCACATCTTCTTTATCCATTTATCTCTTGATGGACACTTAGGTTGCTTCCACATCTTGGCTATCCTATATAAAAAAGGGTAATATGCAAAACGGTGGAATGATTGGTCACTATGATGTGCACTGACCACCAGGGGGCAGACACTAAA